GTAGCCATAAACATAGACTTTGAAGCCCAAGAGGCACATCTAGGTGCAGTTCTAAGTGGTTCAGATAACTAGTTCCCCACTTTTCTACCTTGTCTATCCTGGAGACAACGAAGGGTTTCTTGACAAACGCAATCCTGGCATCAGTGTTCAGGGCGAGGAACTCCTGCACTTCCTCACTGTTTGCAATCTCAGGCACCGCACACAATTGCTGCGAGGAAAGATGTAGCTTTAGGTCTTTTTTGAGTCAACTTCCCAGTTGAAAGATTTGATGTGCTCCACTGTCTGTCAGTACAGAGCTGTCCCGAGCACTGCTCTCTAGCTCACAGGGGCACACAAGCATCTCACCTTCAAGAAAGATTCTAGCAGACTTTTTCTGGCTTCCACTTTATCACTGTCCATGTTTCCAAATGGAAGATCAGGAAACAGTTTCTTTGGACCTTTGATATCTACAAACGAAACAAACCCATCAGCAAGATCAAGAAAACCACAACAGTTGTATTAAAATCTTAATGCTCTCATGCTTAAGACTGCCACTACACACATCAGCCCAAGATAATACGCCCCTCAAACCAAGGTGGCTGAAGTGGACCTTAAATCCATACAGAACTTGCATTCTGCTGATATCCTATCATCCGTGCCTTTAATGCTAAAGAAGCAAGAACATCAGTTTAGCACAAGGACTCTAGATCATCCACAGAGCCCAAAAATTCTCAACAGTTTTCCAGCCAAACCCTCAGATCTGTCAGAACCAAAGGAAGATGTGGGAACATGCTAAATCCAATGAAGCTTTACACATAAGTAGCATTAGAAGAAACACTGTTTTCTTTTAAAAGCTTATGTTTAACAGATGTTACTCTACTTTCTTGTATGCAAACAAGACACTTGCAGATACCAGTGTTTCTATTTACTGTTAAGATACAAAATTACAAAAGCAAGCCTTGTGATCTGAATTGGAACAAGCATGTTTCAAAACACTGGAATCTGCTGCCAAAAAGAAATAAATCTCTCCTCCAGTCAGCTCTGCACAGAAGGCTGGAGGATGCCTTGTGATCTGAATTGGAACAAGCATGTTTTCAAAACACTGGAATCTGTTGCCAAAAAGAAATAAATCTCTCCACCAGTCAGCTCTGCACAGAAGGCTGGAGGACGGAGGCATCACAAACAACCCGGCCTCTGCACAGGCAGGGCAGGATACCCTCAGAGGAGCATGGACTGAGGCAAGAGGGAGAAGGATTTACTCAGAAAGTTAATGCAGGCACTGACTTTTCAGGAACTTGCGGAGCTCCTGTTTCTCCTCCAGTCTGGTCTGGAGGTTGAGGAACTCCCGGTAACGGCGGTTCACAGTGTGGTAAGCCATTTGCTGAAGGCTGCCTGCGCTCTCACCCTCCAGGGCTGTCTCGTACTGAGGAGGAAGGCAACAGTCAATAATCCTTACAGATCCCCAAACAGTCCTGCTGTGCTGTGGTCCCTGTTGGCCCCACAGTCCCCAGAGCCCATTGAGGTCCCATCCAACAATTCCTCAGATCAACCCTTCCTGAGGAACAGGGGCTGCACAGCACACAGATCCCTCACAATGAAGGGAGTGGTGAAAACAGGATAAAAAAAGACTCAACCAGCCCCACACAACTCTTGGCCAAGAGCAGGAACCCCTATCCCACACCTGAACAGCTACAGGGAAAACACTGTGCCTGATATTCCCCAGCTGCCAGACAAAACTTGCTGTCGAGCCACACACAGCACTAATCCTTGTCTCCAAACACTAGCCCGTGCTCCCCTCGCAGAGGGGGGTCACCTTTACCTTGACGGTGTACAGGGTGTAGGGGTGGAAGCCAGTCCCGCTGTGCTCTCGGGCAGTGATGGTCCCGGTTATCCGCAGGTTCTGGATGACAACCGGCCCATCGGGGCTGCTGAGGGGCTCAAAGCTGAAGGTGCTGATGGAAGCTGTTGGGGAGGATGAGAGCGGGGGAAGAGCCTGCCCAGGGTCTGGGGAGCTTTGCTGTGGACCCTCTGCTGCCCCCAGATCTTTCCCCAAGCTGGAGGGCCTCTGTGAGGAGGCCTTCTTGGCCACAGCTGGGCTTTCCTCGTCCTTCTCAACTGCTGGGTCGATCTGGATGTCAGGGCAGGAGCTCAGCACAAAAGCAGAGGTGGGAAGCAGGCCAGCATCTGAGCTGGTGGCAATGCCCTCCTCCAGGTCCCCCACACCATCCTCCAAAGCAGCCGGTCCCTCCAGCACAGTGGAGTTGTCCTGGAGGCGTTCATCGAGGAATTCTCCCGCGGGTGACGGTGCCAGCAGGTCCACGTCCTGGCCTGCATCGGGTGCGGGGGACTCTAGCTCCAAACCCTCGCAGGGGAAGAGAGAGCCCAGGGCTTGTGGGCGGAGAAAGGGCTCCTCTGTGTGGCACGGCCTGCTCGCTGGGTCCTCTCCCTCCTCACCAGCAGCCCCTGCCTCTCGTCCAGGCACCTCCATGGGCCTTGGGGAAGGGGGCAGCCCAGCAGGATTGGTGTCTGTCTGCACCATAAAGGGCAAGAAATCAGGCACCGGGGGTGCAAGGGGTGGCTCCTCTCTCCGGGTCTTTTTGGAGAAAGCCCCAATGAGCAGGAGGTTGATCGAGTCAGGATCAGCCATTTTCCTGATGGCAGGCAGCAGCACATTGCAGGTGACCAGCTCCACCACCACGAAGCGTCCTGTCCGTGTCTCCAGATGGGGCTGCGGCACCAGCGCCTGCAGCAGCTTCTCCACAG